GTCACATAGCTTGAAGCATCTTTGAAGTGTAACATTTGTAAATAGTCAGTATTCAGTAAGGTTAGAAATAAGTTAGTTAACGGCTAAGATTATATCTTAAGGTAGAATAGGGCGCGCCTAGCTTTAGTGACAAAAAAAAAAAAAAAAAAAAAAATGAATTCACTTCTGAAACGGTTTAAAAACTCAGTTTCTCATGTCTGGAGTAATTTCCAACGAAAAATTTTACTTTCTAAAATTTTTCTTTCTTTTTGTGGGGGGGTGAGTGTAACGTGAAAATTTACCTTTTTCCTTTAATTTTCAGTTCCTAGGTAAAGTTCATTGTGTATCAGGTTTTTTGATGATAGATTTCGGTGTTAACAACTAGAGAGACACTCACACTGTATATAATGTTTTTATTCATGTATAAAAGTACATGGCACTTAAGTATTTACAATATTATTCCTCCAATGGTCCAGAGTGTGAAGTGGTCCTTCACCTGAAAATATCAAAACACTTTAGTATAGAATATTGATGAAGTTGTAGTATACTCACCAGAAATAAGCTGTTTGATTCTTCATCAGTATAGTAGGCTTAGGTTGGAAAGATGTCCTGGTGTTGACACTTCATGGTTTCACCTGAAAATAAATAAGTAGTTAGTGAATGTAAAATAGTTTCAGATGGTAGATTATTTAGGTTTGAAGAATACCCTAACAATTGGCTGGAAATTTCGCTACGTACCTTGAATTATTATGGTCTGAGATGAATTTTGAGAGTATTGATTTCATATTGTTAATCAATAACAATGATTTGTTGATATTATGTAAGTCTATTTTTGACACTGACGTCTCAAAACAGTGACAGTGCTGTCATGTCATGTCACTCACCGTCATACGAGTAATACCTGGGCAGTATCATTAAAAGTATGCTGGCTGCGAAATCAGCGGTGTAGGTGGTTCCATTGGTTCGGGCGGAGTAGGATGACGTTGGATCTTCGATCGGAATATGTTTCTATGTGATCCGTGGTCATATGTTTGTTGTTTTATGGATTTTCGTGCCTCGGAGTAGACAGGATAGTCTTGTAAGTGTGTAAGTAGCTATGCCTGTGGAACTGACCAACCACGGATGAGGATGCACATCACGTGATCAACGTTTCCTGCTCTCTTCGAAATTCAAGTTGCGCAGGAAATTTCGAAGTTTTTTCTGGGTAGAATTTCTAGATGTAAGATTCTAGAAGGCGCAGGAATTGCCCCTTCCTAGATTGGTGGCGTCATTTCATCATTTCCTTCGGCCCCATCCTGGTATCATCCAAGATGCAGACCGATCACTATCTGGTAGTCTTTTCGTGTAGTGAGGCCTTTCCTGATCTCAGGGGTAAGTTTCAAACCTAATAGGGATAAAACCCTACTTCATAGTTTTATTCTGGTGGCTATAAATATTGGTGTATTGCCGCAGATTTGTGGGCCTCGACGGATACCCCGTCGGCTACTTTGGGCAACACCTCTTGGAGTCGTCGTCCATTTTCTGGTACCTCGTTTGATTCAACGCCGGCTATTCCGATTGAGAATTTTGAGAATTTTGCTGTTGGGACCTGGGATTTCGACCTCGTCGTCTGGCTGCTGCTGCCTGACTTTCTGTCTGTCTGGACCTGCGAGCCTTCAAGGACATCTCCTGAGGAGTCCCGAATTCATCCTGGTTGCATGGCCCAGTCACCTGCTCCTGGCCTACATCAGCAGTCTTCTCTGCAGTCATCTATGCAGTCCTCGCTGCCGCATCAGGTGAATCTTCAAGGTCTGCTGGTTGCAGAATTTCTTCCACGTGGCTGAGGTGCCACTTCCTGCTGTCTGTTCCTGCCCTGGCTCTGAGGACATGGTATTTTTGGGCATGGTTTGAGTAAGAGCTACAATTGAAGATTTCTTTCCTGTTTTTTTTATGAAGTTACCATTTATCAGCACCAGATGTGTCACATAATTTTTACCAATTTTCTTACCAATTTCTGACCATTTTCTCACCAGTTTACATTTACTAGTTCATGAAATTTACCATGCATATGATTACACGAAATGTTCGCCCCAATATAGATCTATAAAAGGGAATTCACATAAAATTCATATATAGGTAATTGTGAATCTGATTTTGAATATTTTTTTAATATTGGAAATACTGAGTGTCATTAATTCTCCATGTAAATGTTAACCTGGGTTTTACAAAATATCTCATTAAACCACCATTGAGTTCACACAGTGTTTGAATTATTTTCTCTTTCAGGAAAGTAGTTGAATTCAATATCAAATATCTTTTCTTGGTTTTTTATTCTGAAACAAACTAAGTGGCGCCCCTCTGGTACCTCAACAAAGTCCGAATCTATGATCATCGCTCGCCAGACGAAAAGCTGCCTGTGCCTTGCTAATCTAACTTTTTGACATTCATATTTTTTGTACCATCTAAGAAAAATTGTCTAAAGTAGGTTACAATCACTATGCGTGTTGAAGTAGATGGAACTATTGAAACAATACTTGTGGAGAGTATCTATTTCGCTAGTTTAAATTTCATATTAAACGGTTTCTTCTATCATATTAGATCATTGATATTGGAAAATTGTGATTTAGGGCTAATTCAATGGTATCAGTCAGCCGGAATGAGGGATATAAACTTTCAAAGAACTCTTATAGATCACTATTGCAACCTGCGTCTGCTGGATGGAATGAATGTAAAGCTTACATCTTTAATTACGCACCTGCGTATTTGGATGATAACGGGAAGAGTTCATAAAGTGATTTTCAGAGATATTCAAGCTCATAGAGATGATGATATGTTCCAGGTCATGACGATTGGTTTGTTAACGAAACGAATAAGTGCTTCGATGCAATATGAGTATAATCGGGTGGAGGGAAGAATGAATAAACGATTCGTAGGTAATCCTGACTTTTTTGGAATGAACGAATAAGTGTTATAACGCTATTGACGTAATTATTTCATCATGTTATATTGTTTGGTGTCCGTGTAGGACTCAATTTCAGCTCAATCAAGGTTAACGAGGGGCCCAGTCTTGTATTAGACACCGTTGAGTACAGACGTGCGACGAGTGATAAGTGCAAGCGATAAGAGTGATTCAGTATGGTGATTAAGCGAGTAAATACGCTAACTTTAAATTTTAGGAACGTTCGGAGAAAACCATCGAACACAAATCTTCATATGTGGATTGAAAACGTTCTGAAGTGTAACGTAGATCAAATAGTAGGAATACAATTTGATCATGTTAAGCATAAGGTGTTCCTCAAGTTGGTATCAAACCTGAAGATGCAGGCAATCCTGCAGGAGTTTAGTGATGGGATAGTCAAATACGTAGGAGAGGAAGGAGATGAATTTGATGTCTTCATAACAGAAGATGCTGATGATATAATGGTGAAGATTTACGATTTTCCACTGGAAATGGACAACCAGACAATCAAGGAGAAGATGTCAAAGTATGGAATTGTGAAAAGTATTCGAAATGGAAAATATGTTGGTGATGGGCTTTTCAATGTGGAAACTAGAATACGATCAATGTGGGTAGCCATGAAAAAACCAATCCCGTCGTATGTGGCGATCGAAGGGTGTACCTCATTGGTTACGTATCCCAATCAGGTTCGCACCTGTTTAGTTTGTGAAGAACCAGGGCATGAAAAAAGAGAGTGTTTTAAAAGGCCTCTGAATCGAATACACGAAATCAGAAGACCAAGTGCTCCAGTTGTTACTGATAATGAAGGAAGGCAGCCGGAAAATATAGAGTCGCAGTTAGAAATACCGGAAGATCAGATAAATGAGTCCACAGTATTGAACCAAACAGAAGAAGAAGGGAAAGATGAACGGAACGAGGAAAAGGAGATAGAATTGAATACTTCTTCGGAGGAAGAAGCAGAAAGTGACTCACATGGTGATATAATTCCACCTACACCGGGGTGTTGGCAGGAATTTATGAAGAAAACGGCTGGGATGAGGAAGAGGAAGCGACAAAAAATAGATACTAGCTCTGAAGAGGAAAGGAAAGTGCCAAAGCTAAATATTAAACTTCCGACAAAAGCTGTAACGATTTTGACCAACGTTGACGGGATGAACATGGATACTTCTGGGAATCACGAACGTGGTGAAGATTCTAAGGATAGCGAGAATCCGTTTTTCTGAGAGTGTGAAATGCAAATTGATGTAAGTTTTGTGATAAATTTTCGATTGTAATGCAATTCTATTGTTCTTTTGTGTTTTTTCATATAGTGGTAATCTTTGATATCCTATCTTTTTATTTTGAGATTCAAATGATGCACATACATTATTTCAAGATCATTCGTTTTTTCATCATTCAAATTAATTTATATTTCCAAAATCCACCATAAGATTACATACTTTCCTGCTAAATAGATTTCATGTGAGTTTGATTTCTCATACACGATAAAATGTATAGCCTACCTCGAGGTGCTACTCCCGGTATCGCTCGGCGCGTTTCTAGAGGCAGAAACGCAAACCCTGCTGTGACCGTGATTAATGCTGTTAATAATGAGAACGCCCAGGCAAATGTAGCTGGTCCAGTGGAAAACGATTTGAATACTATGGTTGAAAACACTAGGCCAAATGGCGATTTTAATGTGCTACGCATATTATACGATCTTCACAAACCTACGAACAATGATGTAGATTACATAGACGTACACGAGGAAATGAATGGTGGGGAGGTACTCGTACGCGGATAATTCCGCATGCAAGCTAATGAAGAGATAGTTGGCAGGCAGCGCTCGAATAATTGAAATAGAGTCGGAAGTCTTAAAGTATTTGATGATGATGTAAATGCGACTAGTTATAGATTAAATAACTTCAGGCAGAACGCTGTGTACATAATTCGCAGCGTGTATGGAGGCTATGATGAGCCAATTACTTTATTTCTATATGCAAAAAGTGTCAGTGGGATTATTTGTAAGATTAATCAAAATAGAGGCGTCTATGATAGATGGATTGGTCATCCTTATGATATCACAATAGCAAACATAGAGCGTATGATTAACGTAGACGATGTAAGATTGAGAGCTAGACGAAGAGGTTTAGCCCTCGGAAATGTCGCTAGAGATATAAAATGTGTTGGAGATTGGTTCCTAGCATGCCTGGAACAACTTTTCGCGAGAGGTTTACGGGGTTTAAACTTGAGATTAACATTGGAGCTATTCGTCCAACTCACCGTTGAGGAGGAGGACGTGGCTTTCAATGATATGATAGTTGCAGCTGAGAGCTGGATTGTTCTCGGTACATGTGACTCCTGTTTAAGAAGACTGCTTAGGGTTAGAAACAATGATGGATATACGCGTGCGCCCTCGCCTTTCTCTTATTGGGAAAACAGAGGAATACGCTCTGTGAGTGTCGAAGAAAATAGATTCTATTGGGTCCATGAAAGACATGGAAACGATATAACGGTTAGTGAGATTTTGCATTGTTTGGGGAGTCATGATTTCTTATTACTGGATACAACGGATAGATATATCACTATGCGTGTTGAAGTAGATGGAACTATTGAGTCAATACTTGTGGAGAGTATCTATTTCGCTAGTTTAAATTTCATATTAAACGGTTTCTTCCATCATATTAGATCATTGATATTGGAAAATTGTGATTTAGGGCTAATTCAATGGTATCAGTCAGCCGGAATGAGGGATAGAAACTTTCAAAGAACTCTTATAGATCACTATTACAACCTGCGTCTGCTGGATGGAATGAATGTAAAGCTTACATCTTTAATTACGCACCTGCGTATTTGGATGATAACGGGAAGAGTTCATAAAGTGATTTTCAGAGATATTCAAGCTCATAGAGATGATGATATGTTCCAGGTCATGACGATTGGTTTGTTAACGAAACGAATAAGTGCTTCGATGCAATATAAGTATAATCAGGTGGATGGAAGAATAAATAAACGATTCGTTATTATTTCATTATGTTATATTGTTTGGTGTCCGTGTAGGACTTAATTTCAGCTTAGTCAAGGTTAACGAGGGGCCCAGTCTTGTATTAGACACCGTTGAGTACATACGTGCGACGAGTGATAAGTGCAAGCGATAAGAGTGATTCAGTATGGTGATTAAGCGAGTAAATACGCTTACTTCAAATTTTAAGAACGTTCGGAAAAAACCATCGAACACAAATCTTCATATGTGGATTGAAAACGTTCTGAAGTGTAACGTAGATCAAATAATAGGAATACAATTTGATCGTGTTAAGCATAAGGTGTTCCTCAAGTTGGTATCAAACCTGAAGATGCAGGTAATCCTGCAGGAGTTTAGTGATGGGATAGTCAAATACGTAGGAGAGGAAGGAGATGAATTTGATGTCTTCATAACAGTAGATGCTGATGATATAATGGTGAAGATTTACGATTTCCCACTGGAAATGGACAACCAGACAATCAAGGAGATGATGTCAAAGTATGGAATTGTGAAAAGTATTCGAAATGAAAAATAATAATAATAATAATAATAATAATAATAATAATAATAATAATAATAATGTTTATTGAAGTAATACCCAATATGTATAACAAATTCATGACGAAATAATATATTATGGTCTTACTACTCCAAAAGGACAGAATATTGGCAAAGCCATTTTTCAATTCTGCCTGAATAATTACAATAGAACATAACATAATGAATAAATATAAAGAAAAACGATATATACAATACATACTACATAATATACAGGAAAATATACAGAAAAATTGACTGAATAAATCAAATAAACTATAAAAAATAATGAACACCGTGATCTAATTGAGAATAGATCACTCGGCACTAATGATATGTCCTCAATAAATATAAATATAGCTACTAGGTGAGAGCTGCGCTCAGATTCTTACGATACTCTGTTTTAAATTTATTTAACGAGTCCAGCATGAAATATTCTTTGTGTGTGTTGTACATGAATGGAGCAATATATGAATAACATTTCTGAAATTTGGATGTTTTGTGCCTTGGAACTATCATATTATCAGTATTCCTTAGATTGATAGCAATATCTGGCCTTTTGATCAATAAGTCATACAAATAACTAGGTATTTCATTTCTGTAAACGTTGTAAACGAGAGAGCCATATAAAAGAGCAAACCTTTGTTCAATTTTCAAGATGTTCATGCTTACATAGTACGGAGTTATGTGATCACGTCGTTTTATATTATTGTTTGAGTATCTCAAGCAATTATTCTGCAGTATCTGTAACTTTCGCTTGAAACAATCATTCAGAAAGTTATAGTAAACACTTGAACCATAATCGAGCTGACTCATAATAAGTATATTTACAAGATTCCATTTTGTTTCATGCGGGAGTATGTATTTATATCTCCATAAAGATTTGAACTTGAAATAGCATACTTTCAGTTTTCCTAAGACATGTTTTTCGAAGGTTAATGTTTCATCAATGACTATACCTAGATCATCACAGCTCAGATTGACAACAGTATCGTTCAACATTATATTGCAGGTTTGTGTCGATTTAGCTCTGGATACCATAATTTTTGTGCCAAGGCACATAGCAACTGTTTTAGATGGATTAATAGTTAGTCCATGGGTCTTAGAGTAATCACTTATCAGTTGAAGATTATGATTCAATTCACATATAAAATAGTCAACTTCAGATGGATCACAATATCCATATAATTGAACGTCATCCGCATACATATGCACAGAACAAGTAGGTAGTAATGATTTCACTAGATCTGCTGTAAATATAGTGAATAAGAGCGGACCCAGTATACTGCCTTGTGGTACACCACAATTGACTGCTCTTTCCCTTGATACTTCTGCACCTAGTTTCACACATTGCTCACGACCACTCAAGTAGCTCTCAAACCATCGAATTAGCACTGATGAGAGTCCATAATATTTCAGTTTGGATATTAATAGATTATGATTCACTACATCAAAAGCTTTACTATAATCCAGCATAACTAAGTAGGTCACCATTGAGTTATCAATATTGCATGTTATATCATTGATTATTTTGATCAGCGCTGTTGTGGTGCTATGTTGTTTCCTGAATCCTGACTGTAAAGTGGGTAATATAGAATGTTTCTCCAAATGACTCCGTAAATTCGCAGTGACAATTTTTTCCGAGAGTTTTGACATAGTTGGTAGGATGTTTATAGGCCTAAGTTGATTGAGTTCAGTAGCTGCCGAGACTTTTGGAATAGGATTGACTATAGCTTTCTTCCAGATTTTCGGTATACTTCCAGTTCTCAGAGACACATTGAAAATCGATGTAAGGGCATTTTTACAAAAAGGGAAAGCATACTTCAGCATTATCAAATTGATGCCATCTACACCTGTGGCATTCGATTTTATTGTCCGCAAGGTTTGTTCTACTGACTCACATGTGATCTCAGGAAAGGATTGTATAACATCAGATTCATCAATATACAAAGTTTGTGAGAATTGTGCTACAATTTCCTCATCTACTACTCCATTAACAGCACTATTGATAAAATAATTATTGATAGTTTCTACATTGCTGATTTCAGGTGCTATAGTTGCAGTAGGTTGACCATGAATATTCCAGTTTGTTGGTGATGGGCTTTTTCATGTGGAAACTGGAATACGATCAATGTGGATAGCCATGAAAAAACCAATCCCGTCGTATGTGGCGATCGAAGGGTGTACCTCATTGGTTACGTATCCCAATCAGGTTCGCACCTGTTTAGTTTGTGAAGAACCAGGGCATGAAAAAAGAGAGTGTCCAAAAAGGCATCTGAATCGAATACACGAAATCAGAAGACCAAGCGCTCCAGTTGTTGATGATAATGAAGGAAGGCTGCCGGAAAATATAGAGTCGCAGTTAGAAATACCGGAAGATCAGATAAATGAGTCCAAAGTATTGAACCAAACAGAAGAAGAAGAGAAAGATGAACGGAACGAGGAAAAGGAGTTAGAATTGAATACTTCTTCGGAGGAAGAAGCAGAAAAAGACTCACATGGTGATATAATTCCACCTACACCGGGGTGTTGGCAGGAATTTATGAAGAAAACGGCTGGGATGAGGGAGGAGAAGCGACAAAAAACGGGTACTAGCTCTGAAGAGGAAAGGAAAGTGCCAAAGCTAACTATTAAACTTCCGACAAAAGCTGTAACGATTTTGACCAACGTCAACGGGATGAACAAGGATACTTCTGGGAATCACGAACGTGGTGAAGATTCTAAGGATAGCGAGGATCCGTTTTTCTGAGAGTGTGAAATGCAAATTGATGTAAGTTTTGTGATAAATTTTCGATTGTAATGCAATTCTATTGTTCTTTTGTGTTTTTTCATATAGTGGTAATCTTTGATATCCTATCTTTTTATTTTGAGATTCAAATGATGCACATACATTATTTCAAGATCATTCGTTTTTTCATGATTCAAATTAATTAATATTTCCAAAATCCACCATAAGATCACATACTTTCCTGCTAAATAGATTTCATGTGAGTTTAATTTCTCATACACGTTAAAATGTATAGCCTACCTCGAGGTGCTACTCCCGGTATCGCTCGGCGCGTTTCTAGAGGCAGAAACGCAAACCCTGCTGTGACCGTGATTAATGCTGTTAATAATGAAAACGCCCAAGCGAATGTAGCTGGTCCAGTGGAAAACGATTTGAATACTATAGTTGGAAACACTAGGCCAAATGGCGATTTTAATGTGCTACGCATATTATACGATCTTCACAAACCTACGAACAAAGATGTAGATTACATAGACGTATACGAGGAAATGAATGGTGGGGAGGTACTCGTACGCGGATTATTCCGCATGCAAGCTAATGAAGAGATAGTTGTCAGGCAGCGCTCGAATAATGGAAATAGAGTCGGAAGTCTTAAAGTATTTGATGATGATGTAAATGCGACTAGTTATAGATTAGGTAACTTTAGGCAGAACGCTGTGTACATAATTCGCAGCGTGTATGGAAGCTATGATGAGCCAATTACTTTATTCCTATATACAAAAAGTGTCAGTGGGATTATTTGTAAGATTAATCAAAATAGAGGCGTCTATGATAGATGGATTGGTCATCCTTATGATATCACAATAGCAAACATAGAGCGTATGATTAACGTAGACGATGTAAGATTGAGAGCTAGACGAAGAGGTTTAGCCCTCGGAAATGTCGCTAGAGATATAAAATGTGTTGGAGATTGGTTCCTAGCATGCTTGGAACAACGTTTCGCGAGAGGTTTACGGCGTTTAAACTTGAGATTAACATTGGAGCTATTCGTCCAACTAACCGTTGAGGAGGAGGACGTGGCTTTCAATGATATGATAGTTGCAGCTGAGAGCTGGATTGTTCTCGGTACATGTGACTCCTGTTCGAGAAGACTGCTTAGGGTTATAAACAATGATGGATATACGCGTGCGCCCTCGCCTTTCTCTTATTGGGAAAACGGAGGAATACGCTCTGTGAGTGTCGAAGAAAATAGATTCTATCGGGTCCATGAAAGACATGGAAACGATATAACGGTTGGTAAGATTTTGCATTGTTTGGGGAGTCATGATTTTTTATTACTGGATACAACAGATAGATATATCACTATGCGTGTTGAAGTAGATCGAACTATTGAGTCAATACTTGTGGAGAGTATCTATTTCGCTAGTTTAAATTTCATATTAAACGGTTTCTTCCATCATATTAGATCATTGATATTGGAAAATTGTGATTTAGGGCTAATTCAATGGTATCAGTCAGCCGGAATGAGGGATAGAAACTTCCAAAGAACTCTTATAGATCACTATTGTAACCTGCGTCTGCTGGATGGAATGAATGTAAAGCTTACATCTTTAATTACGCACCTGCGTATTTGGATGATAACGGGAAGAGTTCATAAAGTGATTTTCAGAGATATTCAAGCTCATAGAGATGATGATATGTTCCAGGTCATGACGATTGGTTTGTTATCGAAACGAATAAGTGCTTCGATGCAATATAAGTATAATCAGGTGGATGGAAGAATAAATAAACGATTCGTAGGTAATCCTGATTTTTTTTAATGAACGAATAAGTGTTATAACGCTATTGACGTAAATATTTCATTATGTTATATTGTTTGGTGTCCGTGTAGGACTTAATTTCAGCTTAATCAAGGTTAACGAGGGGCCCAGTCTTGTATTAGACACCGTTGAGTACAGATGTGCGACGAGTGATAAGTGCAAGCGAAAAGAGTGATTCAGTATGGTGATTAAGCGAGTAAATACGCTAACTTTGAATTTTAAGAACGTTCGAAAAAAAAACGTTCTGAAGTGTAACGTAGATCAAATAGTAGGAAGACAATTCGATCATGTTAAGCATAAGGTGTTCCTCAAGTTGGTATCAAACCTGAAGATGCAGGCAATCCTGCAGGAGTTTAGTGATGGGATAGTCAAATACGTAGGAGAGGAAGGAGATGAATTTGATGTCTTCATAACAGAAGATGCTGATGATATAATGGTGGAGATTTACGATTTTCCACTGGAAATGGACAACCAGACAATCAAGGAGAAGATGTCAAAGTATGGAATTGTGGAAAGTATTCGAAATGAAAAATATGTTGGTGATGGGCTTTTCAATGTGGAAACTGGAATACGATCAATGTGGATAGCCATGAAAAAACCAATCCCGTCGTATGTGGCGATCGAAGGGTGTACCTCATTGGTTACGTATCCCAATCAGGTTCGCACCTGTTTAGTTTGTGAAGAACCAGGGCATGAAAAAAGGGAGTGTCCAAAAAGGCCTCTGAATCGAATACACGAAATCAGAAGACCAAGTGCTCCAGTTGTTACTGATAATGAAGGAAGGCAGCCGGAAAATATAGAGTCGCAGTTAGAAATAGTGGAAGATTCGATAAATGAGTCCAAAGTATTGAACCAAACAGAAGAAGAAGGGAAAGATGAACGGAACGAGGAAAAGGAGATAGAATTGAATACTTCTTCGAAGGAAGAAGCAGAAAGTGACTCACATGGTGATATAATTCCACCTACACCGGGGTGTTGGCAGGAATTTATGAAGAAAACGGCTGTGATGAGGAAGAAGAAGCGACAAAAAATGGGAACTAGCTCTGAAGAGGAAAGGAAAGTGCCAAAGCTAAATATTAAACTTCCGACAAAAGCTGTAACGATTTTGACCAACGTCGACGGGATGAACATGGATACTTCTGGGAATCACGAACGTGGTGAAATTCTAAGGATAGCGAGGATCCGTTTTTCTGAGAGTGTGAAATGCAAATTGATGTAAGTTTTGTGATAAATTTTCGATTGTAATGCAATTCTATTGTTCTTTTGTGTTTTTTCATATAGTGGTAATCTTTGATGTCCTATCTTTTTATTTTGAGATTCAAATGATGCACATACATTATTTCAAGATCATTCGTTTTTTCATTATTCAAATTAATTTATATTTCCAAAAAATCCACCATGAGATCACATACTTTCCTGCTGAATAGATTTCATGTGAGTTGAATTTCTCATACACGTTAAAACGTTAAAATGTATAGCCTACCTCGAGGTGCTACTCCCGGTATCGCTCGGCGCGTTTCTAGAGGCAGAAACGCAAACCCTGCTGTGACCGTGAATAATGCTGTTAATAATGAAAACGCCCAGGCAAATGTAGCTGGTCCAGTGGAAAACGATTTGAATACTATGGTTGGAAACACTAGGCCAAATGGCGATTTCAATGTGCTACGCATATTATACGACCTTCACAAACCTACGAACAATGATGTAGATTACATAGACGTACACGAGGAAATGAATGGTGGGGAGGTACTCGTACACGGATTATTCCGCATGCAAGCTAATGAAGAGATAGTTGTCAGTCAGCGCTCGAATAATGGAAATAGAGTCGGAAGTCTTAAAGTATTTGATGATGATGTAAATGCGACTAGTTATAGATTAGGTAACTTTAGGCAGAACGCTGTGTTCATAATTCGCAGCGTGTATGGAAGCTATGATGAGCCAATTACTTTATTTCTATATGCAAAAAGTGTCAGTGGGATTATTTGTGAGATTAATCAAAATAGAGGCGTCTATGATAGATAGATTGGTCATCCTTATGATATCACAATAGCAAACAGAGCGTATGATTAACGTAGATGATGTAAGATTGAGAGCTAGACGAAGAGGTTTAGCCCTCGGAAATGTCGCTTGAGATATAAAATGTGTTGGAGATTGGTTCCTAGCATGCCTGGAACAACGTTTCGCGAGAGGTTTACGGGGTTTAAACTTGAGATTAACATTGGAGCTATTCGTCCAACTCACCATTGAGGAGGAGGACGTGGCTTTCAATGATATGATAGTTGCAGCTGAGAGCTGGATTGTTCTCGGTACATGTGACTTCTGTTTAAGAAGACTGCTTAGGGTTAGAAACAATGATGGATATACGCGTGCGCCCTCGCCTTTCTCTTATTGGGAAAACAGAGGAATACGCTCTGTGAGTGTCGAAGAAAATAGATTTTATTGGGTCCATGAAAGACATGGAAACGATATAACGGTTGGTAAGATTTTGCATTGTTCGGGGAGTCATGATATTTTATTACTGGATACAACAGATAGATATATCACTATGCGTGTTGAAGTAGATGGAACTATTGAAACAAAACTTGTGGAGAGTATCTATTTCGCTAGTTTAAATTTCATATTAAACGGTTTCTTCTATCATATTAGATCATTGATATTGGAAAATGGTGATTTAGGGCTAATTCAATGGTATCAGTCAGCCGGAATGAGGGATATAAACTTTCAAAGAACTCTTATAGATCACTATTGCAACCTGCGTCTGCTGGATGGAATGAATGTAAAGCTTACATCTTTAATTACGCACCTGCGTATTTGGATGATAACGGGAAGAGTTCATAAAGTGATTTTCAGAGATATTCAAGCTCATAGAGATGATGATATGTTCCAGGTCATGACGATTGGTTTGTTAACGAAACGAATAAGTGCTTCGATGCAATATAAGTATAATCAGGTGGATGGAAGAATAAATAAACGATTCGTAGGTAATCCTGATTTTTTTTTAATGAACGTATAAGTGTTATAACGCTATTGACGTAATTATTTCATTATGTTATATTGTTTGGTGTCCGTGTAGGACTTAATTTCAGCTTAATCAAGGTTAACGAGGGGCCCAGTCTTGTATTAGACACCGTTGAGTACAGACGTGCGACGAATGATAAGTGCAAGCGATAAGAGTGATTCAGTATGGTGATTAAGCGAGTAAATACGCTTACTTCAAATTTTAAGAACGTTCGGAAAAAACCATCGAACACAAATCTTCATATGTGGATTGAAAACGTTCTGAAGTGTGACGTAGATCAAATAGTAGGAATACAATTTGATCATGTTAAGCATAAGGTAATCCTCAAGTTGGTATCAAACCTGAAGATGCAGGCAATCCTGCAGGAGTTTAGTGATGGGATAGTCAAATACGTAGGAGAGGAAGGAGATGAATTTGATGTCTTCATAACAGTAGATGCTGATGATATAATGGTGAAGATTTACGATTTCCCACTGGAAATGGACAACCAGACAATCAAGGAGATGATGTCAAAGTATGAAATTGTGAAAAGTATTCGAAATGAAAAATGTGTTGGTGATGGGCATTTTAATGTGGAAACTGGAATACGATCAATGTGGATAGCCATGAAAAAACCAATCCCGTCGTATGTGGCGATCGAAGGGTGTACCTCATTGGTTACGTATCCCAATCAGGTTCGCACCTGTTTAGTTTGTGAAGAACCAGGGCATGAAAAAAGAGAGTGTCCAAAAAGGCATCTGAATCGAATACACGAAATCAGAAGACCAAGCGCTCCAGTTGTTGATGATAATGAAGGAAGGCTGCCGGAAAATATAGAGTCGCAGTTAGAAATACCGGAAGATCAGATAAATGAGTCCAAAGTATTGAACCAAACAGAAGAAGAAGAGAAAGATGAACATAACGAGGAAAAGGAGTTAGAATTGAATACTTCTTCGGAGGAAGAAGCAGAAAGTGACTCACATGGTGATATAATTCCACCTACACCGGGGTGTTGGCAGGAATTTATGAAGAAAACGGCTGGGATGAGGAAGGAGAAGCGACAAAAAACGGGTACTAGCTCTGAAGAGGAAAGGAAAGTGCCAAAGCTAACTATTAAACTTCCGACAAAAGCTGTAACGATTTTGACCAACGTCAACGGGATGAACAAGGATACTTCTGGGAATCACGAACGTGGTGAAGATTCTAAGGATAGCGAGGATCCGTTTTTCTGAGAGTGTGAAATGCAAATTGATGTAAGTTTTGTGATTAATTTTCGATTGTAATGCAATTCTATTGTTCCTTTGTGTTTTTTCATATAGTGGTAATCTTTGATATCCTATCTTTTTATTTTGAGATTCAAATGATGCACATACATTATTTCAAGATCATTCGTTTTTTCATTATTCAAATTAATTTATATATCCAAAATCCACCATAAGATCACATACTTTCCTGCTAAAAAGATTTCATGTGAGTTTAATTTCTCATACACGTTAAAATGTATAGCCTACCTCGAGGTGCTACTCCCGGTATCGCTCGGCGCGTTTCTAGAGGCAGAAACGCAAACCCTGCTGTGACCGTGATTAATGCTGTTAATAATGAAAACGCCCAGGCAAATGTAGCTGGTCCAGTGGAAAACGATTTTAATACTATGGTTGGAAACACTAGACCAAATGGCGATTTTAATGTGCTACGCATATTATACAACCTTCACAAACCTACGAACAATGATGTAGATTACATAGACGTACACGAGGAAATGAATGGTGGGGAGGTACTCGTACGCGGATTATTCCGCATGCGAGCTAATGAAGAGATAGTTGTCAGGCAGCGCTCGAATAATGGCAATGAAGTATTTGATGATGATGTAAATGCGACTAGTTATAGATTAGGTAACTTTAGGCAGAACGCTGTGTACATAATTCGCAGCGTGTATGGAAGCTATGATGAGCCAATTACTTTATTTCTATATGCAAAAAGTGTCAGTGGGATTATTTGTGAGATTAATCAAAATAGAGGCGTCTATGATAGATGGATTGGTCATCCTTATGATATCACAATAGCAAACATAGAGCGTATGATTAACGTTGACGATGTAAGATTGAGAGCTAGACGAAGAGGTTTAGCCCTCGGAAATGTCGCTAGAGATATAAAATGTGTTGGAGATCGGTTCCTAGCATGCCTGGAACAACGTTTCGCGAGAGGTTTACAGGGTTTAAACTTGAGATTAACATTGGAGCTATTCGTCCAACTCACCGTTGAGGAGGAGGACGTGGCTTTCAATGATATGATAGTTGCAGCTGAGAGCTGGATTGTTCTCGGTACATGTGACTCCTGTTCGAGAAGACTGCTTAGGGTTATAAACAATGATGGATATACGCGTGCGCCCTCGCCTTTCTCTTATTGGGAAAACAGAGGAATACGCTCTGTGAGTGTCGAAGAAAATAGATTCTATCGGGTCCATGAAAGACATGGAAACGATATAACGGTTGGTAAGATTTTGCATTGTTTGGGGAGTCATGATTTTTTATTACTGGATACAACAGATAGATATATCACTATGCGTGTTGAAGTAGATGGAACTATTGAGTCGATACTTGTGGAGAGTATCTATTTCGCTAGTTTAAATTTCATATTGAACGGTTTCTTCCATCATATTAGATCATTGATATTGGAAAATTGTGATTTAGGGCTAATTCTATGGTATCAGTCAGCCGGAATGAGGGATAGAAACTTTCAAAGAACTCTTATAGATCACTATTGTAACCTGCGTCTGCTGGATGGAATGAATGTAAAGCTTACATCTTTAATTACGCACCTGCGTATTTGGATGATAACGGGAAGAGTTCATAAAGTGATTTTCAGAGATATTCAAGCTCATAGAGATGATGATATGTTCCAGGTCATGACGATTAGTTTGTTAACGAAACGAATAAGTACTTCGATGCAATATAAGTATAATCAGGTGGATGGAAGAATAAATAAACGATTCGTAGGTAATCCTGATTTTTTTTTAATGAACGTATAAGTGTTATAACGCTATTGACGTAAATATTTCATTATGTTATATTGTTTGGTGTCCGTGTAGGACTTAATTTCAGCTTAATCAAGGTTAACGAGGGGCCCAGTCTTGTATTAGACACCGTTGAGTACAGATGTGCGACGAGTGATAAGTGCAAGCGATAAGAGTGATTCAGTATGGTGATTAAGCGAGTTACTACGCTAACTTTAAATTTTAAGAACGTTCGGAAAAAACCATCGAACACAAATCTTCATATGTGGATTAAAAACGTTCTGAAGTGTAACGTAGATCAAATAGTAGGAATATAATCTGATCATGTTAAGCATAAGGTGTTCCTCAAGTTGGTATCAAACCTGAAGATGCAGGCAATCCTGCAGGAGTTTAGTGATGGGATAGTCAAATACGTAGGAGAGGAAGGAGATGAATTTGATGTCTTCATAACAGAAGATGCTGATGATATAATGGTGAAGATTTACGATTTTCCACTGGAAATGGACAACCAGACAATCAAGGCGAAGATGTCAAAGTATGGAATTGTGAAAAGTATTCGAAATGAAAAATATGTTGGTGATGGGCTTTTCAATGTGGAAACTGGAATACGATCAATGTGGATAGCCATGAAAAAACCAATCCCGTCGTATGTGGCGATCGAAGGGTGTACCTCATTGGTTACGTATCCCAATCAGGTTCGCACCTGTTTAGTTTGTGAAGAACCAGGGCATCAAAAAAGAGAGTATCCAAAAAGGCCTCTGACTCGAATACACGAAATCAGAAGACCAAGCGCTCCAGTTGTTGATGATAATGAAGGAAGGCAGCCGGAAAATATAGAGTCGCAGTTAGAAATACCGGAAGATCAGATAAATGAGTCCAAAGTATTGAACAAAACAGAAGAAGAAGAGAAAGATGAACGGAACGAGGAAAAGGGGTTAGAATTGAATACTTCTTCGGAGGAAGAAGCAGAAAAAGACTCACATGGTGATATAATTCCACCTACACCGGGGTGTTGGCAGGAATTTATGAAGAAAACGGCTGGGATGAGGAAGAAGAAGCGACAAAAAACGGGTACTAGCTCTGAAGAGGAAAGGAAAGTGCCAAAGCTAACTATTAAACTTCCGACAAAAGCTGTAACGATTTTGACCAACGTCAACGGGATGAACATGGATACTTCTGGGAATCACGAACGTGGTGAAGATTCTAAGGATAGCGAGGATCCGTTTTTCTGAGAGTGTGAAATGCAAATTGATGTAAGTTTTGTCATAAATTTTCGATTGTAATGCAATTCTATTGTTCTTTTGTGTTTTTTCATATAGTGGTAATCTTTGATATCCTATCTCTTTTTTTGAGATTCAAATGATGCACATACATTATTTCAAGATCATTCGTTTTTTCATTATTCAAATTAATTTATATTTCCAAAATCCACCATAAGATCACATACTTTCCTGCTAAATAGATTTCATGTGAGTTTAATTTCTCATACACGTTAAAATGTTTAGCCTACCTCGAGGTGCTACTCCCGGTATCGCTCGGCGCGTTTCTAGAGGCAGAAACGCAAACCCTGCTGTGACCGTGATTGATGCTGTTAATAATGAAAACGCCCAGGCAAATGTAGCTGGTCCAGTGGAAAACGATTTGAATACTATGGTTGGAAACACTAGACCAAATGGCGATTTTAATGTGCTACGCATATTATACAACCTTCACAAACCTACGAACAATGATGTAGATTACATAGACTTACACGAGGAAATGAATGGTGGGGAGGTACTCGTACGCGGATTATTCCGCATGCAAGCTAATGAAGAGATAGTTGTCAGGCAGCGCTCGAATAATGGAAATAGAGTCGGAAGTCTTAAAGTATTTGATGATGATGTAAATGCGACTAGTTATAGATTAGGTAACTTTAGGCAGAACGCTGTGTACATAATTCGCAGCGTGTATGGAAGCTATGATGAGCCAATTACTTTATTTCTATATGCAAAAAGTGTCAGTGGGATTATTTGTAAGAATAATCAAAATAGAGGCGTCTATGATAGATGGATTGGTCATCCTTATGATATCACAATAGCAAACATAGAGCGTATGATTAACGTTGACGATGTAAGATTGAGAGCTAGACGAAGAGGTTTAGCCCTCGGAAATGTCGCTAGAGATATAAAATGTGTTGGAGATCGGTTCCTAGCATGCCTGGAACAACGTTTCGCGAGAGGTTTACGGGGTTTAAACTTGAGATTAACATTGGAGCTATTCGTCCAACTCACCGTTGAGGAGGAGGACGTGGCTTTCAATGATATGATAGTTGCAGCTGAGAGCTGGATTGTTCTCGGTACATGTGACTCCTGTTTAAGAAGACTGCTTGGGGTTAGAAACAATGATGGATATACGCGTGCGCCCTCGCCTTTCTCTTATTGGGAAAACAGAGGAATACGCTCTGTGAGTGTCGAAGAAAATAGATTCTATTGGGTCCATGAGAGACATGGAAACGATATAACGGTTGGTAAGATTTTGCATTGTTCGGGGAGTCATGATATTTTATTACTGGATACAACAGATAGATCTATCACTATGCGTGTTGAAGTAGATGGAACTATTGAAACAATACTTGTGGAGAGTATCTATTTCGCTAGTTTAAATTTCATATTAAACGTATTCTTCTATCATATTAGATCATTGATATTGGAAAATTGTGATTCAGGGCTAATTCAATGGTATCAGTCAGCCGGAATGAGGGATATAAACTTTCAAAGAACTCTTATAGATCACTATTGCAACCTGCGTCTGCTGGATGGAATGGATGTAAAGCTTACATCTTTAATTACGCACCTGCGTATTTGGATGATAACGGGAAGAGTTCATAAAGTGATTTTCAGAGATATTCAAGCTCATAGAGATGATGATATGTTCCAGGTCATGACGATTGGTTTGTTAACGAAACGAATAAGTGCTTCGATGCAATACGAGTATAATCGGGTGGAGGGAAGAATAAATAAACGATTCGTAGGTAATCCTGACTTTTTTGGAATAAACGTATAAGTGTTATAACGCTATTGACGTAATTATTTCATCATGTTATATTGTTTGGTGTCCGTGTAGGACTCAATTTCAGCTCAATCAAGGTTAACGAGGGGCCCAGTCTTGTATTAGACACCGTTGAGTACAGACGTGCGACGAGTGATAAGTGCAAGCGATAAGAGTGATTCAGTATGATGA